GTGCCTGGTCCTGGTCCGGATTGTTAAAATTCCTAATAAATGTCCTGTTAGCAACTTGGAAATTTCTTCCATGTATTACAAGAAAAAAACTGTTAAACTAGAGGGCTCCTTGATCATATTTCATAAAACAAATAAGATAATAATTATATAATAGGAGACTAGTTGAACAACAATAATAAAGTTCAAAATAGTTCATATTCATATATTTATCACTGTTTACAGAAGCAGAACCTCGGCTTGCTCCCCTCGACGTGATATGACGAATCGCAATGTGAATCGGCCGTTACGTAACAACAAGTGGCTCTCGGCGCCATTCATATTTGAATGCAGCGCTAATAAACGGGACGCGATGACAGGGCGGGTCTGAGTGTGTGTATGTATCACAATAACGTAATGCGATGTGACCCCATTCGACACGGAAACGAGGGAAGGAGCGCACGGAGAGGGGGGAAGGAAAGAGAGAGAGAGAGAGAGAGAGATCACCCCTTTTGCCTTTTTGTTGTTGCTGCGAAAGGACACGTGTTCGCTTTGACGGCGCTTGCACGCTGTGTGTTTGGCGATTGGGTTTGTATGTTACACTGCAAATGTTTATTTGTAAGTTTTTGCCTGATCATTCTTTGAGTAGCCACTCTCATGAAAACTCGAATTTATACGGCTCGGAAAGGCTGGATATTTTTTATAGAAAGCCAATGATCCATTTATTCAAGAGTTCTAAAGAGCACCAAAGAGACAAGTGTTTAAAGGTATCTGAAAAATAAGGTCATGGTTCATTTGCAAGGCACCAGGGCGGAACTCGGCTTCCAAGCTTTTGGATGCGAAAACTGACTAAGATAAAAATAAAACACATGCCCACACACAAGACTAATCTGTCTTCGTGCTCTAATTCAGTGTAAATTAAGATTGAATTTTTGTTCATGACTCCGAGATTTGTTCACTCCATCAGCGGACCTATCTCCTCCGTTTGATTCGCCGACGAAAACATCAAACGAATCGCCCCCGCTCCCGTTACTGTTGCTCTTTCCCCGGGATCCGCGGCCAGTTGTGCGGGGATGGGACTGAGAAAGGGGAAACGGCAATCCTGTTAACGGGGTCATCGTATCGTATACAGCGCCGGGGAGGGGAGGAAGATGAGGGGGTGGGAGCATAAGGGGGGGCATGTCATGCTAGGCGGACCAGGACATTGCTCTACCGGGGCTCTTTACTTCATTAGGGGAGGGGGAGGGACGGGATACTCCACCACCACCCCATGGACTCTGTTGCACTCGGCCGAGGCGGCGTGGAGGCGTGGGGGACGCCGCCGTGCTTGGGGTCGTCACGCGGTGACGGTCGGGGCGTGACGAGGAAAGGGGTGCCGGGTCAACTGTGACAACAGACCTTCACAAGCGTAGTGTTAAGGGCCCTGTTTTAAAATGGTATACACTCGGGAAAACATGATTGGACCCCTTGAAAAGTTGGTTCAACTTAGCACGAAAGTTTGCACAAAAACGAAGAAATGCATTAAGCGTGTGTGCACCGAGCCTTTCACTGAAATCCGTTTTGTGATACTTTTACTCAATTTTTGCAATAACTGGTGTTTTGCGATTCCCACGCTAAAGGGCATGATAACTCCAAAAAATGTGATAAAAGTATCACATTTTTGTGATAAAATCATCACAAAACATGTAATAACATAATTTTTGTTTTTTTTGGAGTTATCATGCCATTTAGCGTGGGAATCGCAAAACACCAGTTATTGCATGGTTTTGTGTTAAAAGTATCGCAAAACCAGTCTCAGTGTTGTTGTTCAAGCTTCATACAATTTTCAGTCATTGAAAGAAGACTAATAATTGAGGCATGTTTTAAGTAACGGAAACGGAGAAGAAGGACTAAATCTGCGGTGAGTAGCATCCTACCTGCTGGAGGACTATTATTGCAGGGAAATAAATAAGAAAAGTCAGAGACGCACAACCCCCGCGACACGGGAGAGGGAGAGGGAGAGGGAGAGAGGGAGAGAGAGAGAGAGAGGGAGAGAGAGATAGGGGGGCCGGGGAGAGGGCTGCCAACACCAGCTCCAGCGTTTGACGAAAGACAGCCCTGCTAGCGGCAGCAGCAGGGAATGGGAGAGGGCGGAGGGCAAGCAAGGGGCGCGGTTGGGACTAGATAGATAGATAGATAGATAGATAGATAGATAGATAGATAGATAGATAGATAGATAGATAGATAGATTTTTCTGACTTATTACGATAGAAAGATAGGCGGCGAGGAACTAGACTATCGCGGAATACTCTGTATTTGTTGTTTTGTCTTTATTTCCGAAGGATTGATAATTGATTGATAGATGGAGCTAGACTCGCGGGCGGGCGGACAGGCGGACGCGTAGACAACATGACCAATGGACGGACACGAACACACGGCCGGACGGCCGGGTCCTAAAATGGTGGTTCACTGGAGCGCGGCGGGGCATAGCGAGTCGAGGTCGGAGGTGGAGGAGACAAGACGTGGGCAGGGAGGAAGGGGGGGGGGCACCAACGGGGCGGACGGGGCGTAGAGGAAAAGTTGGAGGGGGTGGGGAAGGGGAGGCTGCTACCCCAGAGGCAGACCCACAGGCACCGGCACAGACTTTACATTATAATTATCATTGTTACCATACCCCATCACATACTGTACGGGGCATAAGTCTTTTGAAAATTAAGGGGCCCAACCGGTATGTAACGAGAAGATTTTGTCTGATATAATCTTTTTATTTCACTTTTTTTGGCCGATTCACATATGGGTGGTATATTTTTTCCGTGAAAGGCGCGGCAAAACTTTGAACGGAAGACGCGCGCCTCCTTTTTTTTTTGGGGGGGGGGGGGTCCTTTGGTTCACCGTGACCGATCACTGCAAGCAAACACGCACGCCGAAGCAGGGGCAAACAGGCCAGCCAGACCCGCTCTACGTGTGTGTGTGTGTGTGCGTGGGTCCGCGTGTGTTTGTCCTCCGTGCCCGTCGCTCCCTGCTGCTGCCTTTAATGGACCCGTATTACCGACGCAATCCCGAACCTATTACCCGACGATAAAAACGATACTGTGTCTCCCATATTTGTTTTGCCGTTTGTTGATGTCTCTTGGCTGCATCGCCCGAGGCATTTAGAAGCGCTGCGGTGGTGGTGGCGGCGCGGCCAGAAGCCAGTGAGGGGCGAGGGACTGGGGATTGATAGAGATAAGAGAGAGCGGTGGGGAAGGGTGGTGGGCCTGACAATGAGACTCACGGAGGCCGGAGGCCTGTGAAACCTATCATCGTTTGCAAATCTTAAAGTAAAGAAAGACGTTATTTGGTAAAATTTGAAGCGGTAATTTGACTTTTCATTTTTTGGGTTGACAGCACATTCGCGCGTCTTTCTGATGCCGGTGGTACTACTCACGCTCGGGATGTTGTCGTTGTTGCAGACGCCCTCCGAGAGCAGGCGATCCCGGATCTCCCACGCAAAGATGGAGGGGCACTCGCGCTTGTAGTCGGCGATCTTGTTGACCACGGAGGAGGTGGCGACCCGCGGCTTGGAGCCGCCGATCGCCCTGGGCTTGATGGAGCCCGTCTCGTAGTACCTGCGGCAGCCAAAGCAAGGGTGCTGCTTTTATGCTCTCTCATATTATTGGGATGTCAAAATTACAAACAATTTTGTCGTGAAGTGTTCCCCCGTGAATCTATTATTATCAATTAGAGGGTCATGTAAAAGGAAAGGCGAGTCGTGGAGTAATTTTTGGCTTTACAAGTGTATATATACACTTGCTATAAATCCGGGTGATACGAAATTGTAAGCACAATTTCGTGTTTTACAAAAGTGGTGCACTGCGAAAAATATCGTCGTAAATTACAAAAAATTTGTAAACTGGAATTATAATTTAAGTTGTATAAATTTACGTACTGAATGTAACTGTTTCAAATTTAAATTTTAAACCTTCCTACTACTTTTCACAGTGTACTGGAGTCTACTATTGGAAAAACACTCTCGTAAATTTGCAATATTCGTTGTAATTCTTATTTCCAAAATTTGCGGCAGCCCGTTTCTGCTTGTCGTTCACTTGTAGGCCGACACGCCAAGTGCTTGTAAATTTATAGTAATACGTTAAGGAATTATTTTTTTTTCGTGTAAACCTGCGACTATTTCACAAGTGATTTACAGTGTCACGCACCTTCCCAGGATCTTGGAGACGCAGCCGTTGGACACCTGCAGTATCCTGGAGATGTCGCACGGCCGCGCGCCCGAGTGCGCCAGCTCGACGATCTTCTGGCGGGTGGAGTCGGGCAGCGGCCGCCCGTTGACGTACACGCCGCCCAGCTGGTTGATGCCCGAGTGGCCGGCGGCCGAGCAGCCGAACAGGGTGCTCTGGGCCACGGCGGCAGCGGCCGCGGCCGCGGAGCTGTGGCAGTGGTCGTCATCTGCAACAGGCACGCGTCAAATAGGTTACTACACTGAAAGAAATATAGATAACTGACTACAACTAAAAATAGGAAAAAAAAGTAAATTTTTACATCTGTAAAATGTGCTAAATTTTAGAGGGATCAGAAAAATTACATATGTCGCCGATTGCTTTTGTATTTACAAAATAATAG